TTAAATAATAAATCATAAAGATTATCTAAATTTTTCATATATGATAATAAACTTGTGAACAATTAAATATTTCAACTTTGTTGGAAACACTGATCAAGAATTCAAACCAGTCCAATTTGATAAAATGTTGCTCAATCCATGTAATAAACCAATAAAATAATTATCCTATGAAAATTATTGAGAAAGATTCTAAATTCAAAATCATTTGTTCACTTTAAAAAGAATTTGGAATTATTCTTAAGATTAAAACTTGTGAAATTTATTAAAATTTTGGGGTAGGGTGTTTGATTGGCTAATTTGAATTTCACATTTACCAAATAAAAAAATTCGAAATGTCTAATAATAACAGTTTCTTGTCCTTGGAAAAAAATATTACGTGCTTATTTAACAACCTTAACATTGATAATCCTGCAACTTTAAAATATATTAATAAGCTAGTAATTGATTTTTCAAATTTGTTAAATAACTCAGATTATTATGATGTAGAAATCAAAGTTGGAGGAGTGGAAGATGTCAGAATTTTTAAAGCTCATTCTACCATTTTAAAGGCAAGATCTTTGTATTTTCGAGCAGCTTTATCCAATAATTGGATTAAAAGTTCTGATCATGGTACCATTTTATTTGAAAAAGAAAATATTTCTCCAAGAGTTTTTGAAATTCTTTTAATGTAAGTTGATTTGATTTATTAATAAAAAATAAATAAAGAATTGATTTATTAAATGAAATTTTTTTTTTACATATTATTATTTATATTTTTAAAAGGTATATGTACAATGGAATTCTCAATATAGGTAGCCTGGATTTAAACCAAATTCTGGAACTTATTGAAGCATGTGATGAGTCAAACTTTAATGAATTAATTGATAATTTACAAAATTATTTAATCAATGAAAAAAGTGAATGGTGCCACCAAAATTTTATTTATGTTCATAAAGTTTCATCAAAACATCAACTTAGTTCACTTCAAGATTTTTGTGATAAATTGATTTGTGAAAATCCAGGTTCAATTTTAAAATCCAATGACATTGCAAAAATTGAAAAACCAATGCTTGTATCAATATTGGAAAGTAATAATTTGAAATTAGATGAGGTTGATATTAGGAACCATGTCTCCAATGGGGAATAGGACAATGTGGGTTATTAAAAAAAGATATTTCAATATGGGATGAAAATGATTTTGAGAAGATGAAAAGTATATTAAAAGACATTATTTTATTAATAAGATTTGGTGAAATATCCAAAGAAAATTTCTATGGGAAAGTTAAACCTTATAGAAAGATTTTTGATAAAAATATATATGAAGAAATTCTTCAATATTATTTTACAGATAAATGGCAACCTAGATTTCTTCATTATAAAGGTCCAAGAACAAGAAATAGGAAAGGAAAATTATTAAACTCAAAAATGAAATTACTGGTTTCTGGTTGGATTGATCAAAGTAATGGCTATTATAGTGAAAATGACATTCCATATGATTTTGAATTAATTCTTCAAAATCAGTTTTTGAACAAAAATGTTATAACATTAAACAAACTGTAGTATTTATGAAACTAAAAGAAACAGGTGAATTAGTGGGTGGCTATAACCCAGTTTATTGGAATAGAAAAGAAAAATCCTTAGATGAAGGATATTGGATTGAAACTGATAAAAGTTTTATTTTTAAAATTAATGAGAATCAACTTGATAATTCTATATTAAGTAGAGTCAAATATCCTAAGCTTGCAACATTTCATAATGATAATATAGGTTTTTGTGAAATTGTCATAAACTTTGAAGATTTACAATTATACAACAGTATTAATAATGAACCTTATTGTCTTTATCGATTTAATAATATTTTTTATCAGTATACAAGTTAGCAAAGAAAAATTAGCAATTTTAAATTAGGATTATTTACATACAGTATATATATATAAAAACTTTTTTTGCATAGAATTTATAGAAGTAACTTTTTCATGAATGAGCAACTGTGGATATCAAATATTATAAATCTAAATTTATATCTAATCTGTTTTATTTTTATGGCTTCTCGTTTTTATAGCTCAAAAAGGGTATAATTGAAAAAATAATTTTTTTATTATACATAATTTTGAGAATCAAAGTTCTAGGAAGTGTATATTTACCACGACAATTATCTCAATTTTTTTATAACCCATAACACAATTATATATATCTTCAAATGATTTTTTATTAAAATAAAATGATACTCTACATGTATAAAATTAGGATATTAATATGACGAAAAAATACCATGTATAAATAACACTTTTAAACATGATTAGTATTAGGCAATTATTACATGATCGGAAATTTGTCCTATATAGTATATCTTCTTCAAGAAACATATTAGTAAATACTAATATTTTATGGTTAAAATTAAAATTTATTATGATCAAGCGATACTATCATATTATATAACTTGAAACTCGAGACCTATAACCTAAGACAATATTAAGACTAAACTTTTACCCTTGATATAATTTTAGTTTCGGCAATCTGGTTCTAGATTTTCGGCTTTTCCTAAACTTAGAGTTCTGAATTACAACATTATTTACTATTATTATTATAAATACCATATAAAGTTTTGTGCGCATTTTTTTGCAACACATTAGATACTTCATATGTTAACAAAATAAGTTTTGTTTACTCGTAATATTTTTGGTTTTCAATCGACAAATCTGACTTGTAACCTGGCTTTTTTCTCATTAAATGAAACTATTCAATCCAAATGATCAATATGATTAAAAACAAATAAAAAATCACATTTTCTTTATCTACTTTTACCATTGTAAAGTAGTGTTCACCGTCATAAAGTGAGAGAGAGATATCAGACAATGCATATCAAATATCTCTACGATTAAGAGCTACATTCAAATAATTCTATGATAGGTAGGCAATTTTCGTCAACTATAAAATGTCATTTTTCTCAAGTCTACTAAACATACCAACCTGGTATGCAAGTTCAATACTTGAATAGGTTTTTGGCTAATATTCTTTATAATTTATTTTATTCTCCAAGAAGTTTATATTTTGAGTGAGTGATAAAAAAAAAAGCTACTGTTTTATAGTCATCAAAAAAAATATTTTTCAATTTCAATTTATAATTTGTACGAGTGTTTTTAAGGCGAGTTCTTAACAATGTATCAAAAATTACTGTATCTAGTCCCGCATTCCATTATATTATTATTGTTCATCTCGTAGACCATTTATGATGTGGCATAAAAACATATGCATCCTTCATGGTATGTTTTGAAGCATAATTCCACGAAAACAACAATAATACAACCATTGAATCAGTTGTAGCTAAAAATGGAAACAACAATAATAATTCAACTTATTATAAAAAATCACGCTGATTATGACCGAGAAAGATAATTAGTTGCTCTATAGAATAGATGATACAATATTTAAATTTAACACTTATAACACTTATGATATCTCGACATAATTCAGATGATAAAAAGAGTTTAGTATCCAAAAAATACATTTTTTGTATAAGGGAGAATTGGGACGAAAATAAAATATGATCTACAATTGTACAACAGTGGTTATTTTTAGTCGTTCCTTTGAATAAATAATAATAATAATAAAACCTTAAAAATGCCTAATAATTATGACTCCTCATTTTTAGAAAACATTAAAAAACTTTCAAGATCCAAAAAAGATACTTTATTGATAAAACATATTAATAAACTTGTAAATGATTTAACAAACTTGTTGAACGGATCGGATTTTTACGATATGGAAATTAGAGTCGGAAGTGGTGAAGATATTAAAACTTTTAATGCTCATTCCAATATCTTGAAAGCGAGGTCTTTGTATTTTAAAGCGGCTTTATCAAATAATTGGGTAAAAAAATCTAATGGCATGTAATAAACCAATAAAATAATTATCCTATGAAAATTATTGAGAAAGATTCTAAATTCAAAATCATTTGTTCACTTTAAAAAGAATTTGGAATTATTCTTAAGATTAAAACTTGTGAAATTTATTAAAATTTTGGGGTAGGGTGTTTGATTGGCTAATTTGAATTTCACATTTACCAAATAAAAAAATTCGAAATGTCTAATAATAACAGTTTCTTGTCCTTGGAAAAAAATATTACGTGCTTATTTAACAACCTTAACATTGATAATCCTGCAACTTTAAAATATATTAATAAGCTAGTAATTGATTTTTCAAATTTGTTAAATAACTCAGATTATTATGATGTAGAAATCAAAGTTGGAGGAGTGGAAGATGTCAGAATTTTTAAAGCTCATTCTACCATTTTAAAGGCAAGATCTTTGTATTTTCGAGCAGCTTTATCCAATAATTGGATTAAAAGTTCTGATCATGGTACCATTTTATTTGAAAAAGAAAATATTTCTCCAAGAGTTTTTGAAATTCTTTTAATGTAAGTTGATTTGACTTATTAATAAAAAATAAATAAAGAATTGATTTATTAAATGAAATTTTTTTTTTTACATATTTACATTTTTAAAAGGTATATGTACAATGGAATTCTCAATATAGGTAGCCTGGATTTAAACCAAATTCTGGAACTTATTGAAGCATGTGATGAGTCAAACTTTAATGAATTAATTGATAATTTACAAAATTATTTAATCAATGAAAAAAGTGAATGGTGCCACCAAAATTTTATTTATGTTCATAAAGTTTCATCAAAACATCAACTTAGTTCACTTCAAG